AGGGTTTAAGGTTTAGGGTGTAGTGACTTGGTGACTTAGGGTTTAGGGTGTAGGGGTTTAGGGTTTAGGGTTTAGGGGGACTGAATGAATGAAACCCAATTTCACTTTGATTATTTTTTTATGGTCCAGAACTTATATTTGTACAGTTGAAGTATTGGGTCTGATTTTTCGAAAGGTGGGGCTAAGGTCTTAGGAGGTATTGGTTTTGTGGCTAGCTGTCAAACCAAATCCTTTTGGATATAACCCTCCCGCAACTAAGACTTAAAAAAANNCCCTGCGACCTGAGCTGAGAGATTCGAGATGGCAAAGCGAACGACCTCCTGCACCGGGCGGTTTTAAGTGCTTAGCTTGAGGCTAGGAGGGTTGGTGTGGGTTGGTTTCCGACGACATAGAAGAGATTACAGACTATAGTGACAATATAGATCTAGTCGATTCGCGAATAATAAACTAATTTCTCTGGGCTTGTTGGACCATTTAAGCTTTGACCTAGATGCCCGGGTGATTCTAAATTACATTNNTACTAAATGGTGTGTTTGGACTTCGTCCTAGACTTGGGTTTCGAGCTTTGGTTTCGGCCACAGGCTTTACTTACTAATGATTGTTGTTTTGCTTTTCTGTAGGTTCTGGGATTGGAGCTGAATTAATACTTAAAGCGATGCATCTCCGAACGACGGCAACTGAAGCATGAAAGGAACCTGGATGAATCCCCCGTGCAATGCATAAGTTGCTCCTGTACGAACTAGATCAACCCAAAGTCTAGACTAGACCCTCGCAAGCTAGATCCACAACTGACAAATCAAGAAATCCCGGAGCCATTGCTATATTCAAACAATCCCGGAGCCATTGTTATATATTAAATTAAATCCCGGCCAACCCAAATGCCTTCTTGGCGACCTCGAACGGCAACTGCCCAGCTGGATCTCGAACGGCCACGACCTGCCACGCAAAGGAAGGAGTGAAGCTCAAAGCAGACAGGGACATGCACAGGCACTTGCATCCACGGACGGCTCCTTTTTTTCCGTTTCGGCGGTCCGGNNGGGCGGCTGTCGCCCGATCCGCAAAAAAGGAGCATTGCCGATGCTCCTCAGCCCGTCGAACGACACGGGCAGCTGGGTTCATAGATGGCCTCAGATGAATGACATGTTGAACTCTTCACGCTGATATGTTCACTCCTTCGAATCTAGCTTAACTTTAAATAACTCAGTCAGTCAAGGCACCGGTGGGCGAACGGCGAACGTCCTAGCGGCGATCGTGGTACCGAGGACGGCGAGGTTCCTGGCACAAGTGGAACTAACAATGTTTTTCAGTACACTACCAGGTCACTACCAAGCACTATTGCAGCCGGTCTGCAGGCTCATCGACCCACCGGGGTGGCGGGCGACCCGGGTGGCCAGGGTCCGAGAGGCGGTCCCGGTCGTCGTAGTAGATGCCACGGCGATCGTCACGGCGATCGTCACGCCGATCGTAATACTCGCGATCGCGGAATTCGGGCCGATAGTTGGCCCAAGCTTCGTGAGGACCACGGTCACGAAAGTCCATGGGCTCGTCCCGGCGATAGCCTGACAATGGACGGTGACACACAGCTTCTGTGCAAAATCAATAGCAAAAACCCAAACCCAATGCATTCTGGACACCTCGGCGATCCTCGTAGAACGCCCCACCACGGGGCTCCGCACGACGAGCATCGTAGTCGTCGTAGGTTGGCCGGGGTGGCTGACGGGGATGTGGAACATCCGAACGACAACCGCCGCCGCCGTCCGAACGACCTTGACCTTATTTATTGCAATGCAGAGCACAGCACCTCCTGAACCAAGGCTCTTTAAACCGAGCTGCTTGCCGGGACCTCGGGTCGGAGCCTGTCCATCTCCTTCCGACAGGCCGAGGTGATGGCGGCCGACGGGTTCCGGTAGGTCCGAAGGTCCGCATCGTTCTCGCCTCAGCTGCTCTGGTACACTGCTGTGGCAGACAAAACTAAAAGGAATAAACAGCCAAGTCTCGCTGGAAGACTTGGAAGAGCTCGCGAACGAAGCGAGCTCCGTCCTCCGAGTGGCCCGCCATGTTCGCGACCGCCTGAGCAAATCATTTATTTAGTTAATTAAATTAAATAATATTCCTAAGCTACTAGACACACAATGATGAATCAAATAATAAACCGAACGACCCTCATGCAGGCATTGTCGACGCCCAGGCCGTCCAATTCGAGAAGCACCGATGGGGCCACTTTCCACACGTCGAACCGAACCTGAGAACGCCAATCAATGCGAATCCAAAATGCAACAATGACAACTCCTAAAGTAAAAACCTCAACCGAGTGGCGGCATCGACGACGGGATTCCCCAGGCTCGGCATGTACGCCTCGAGCTGCGAGGGATCGTACCGCCCGAAGCCATAATCGGCCTCCACGTGGACCTGGTTCGGAGCTGGGCCTGCACCTGGCCCCACATCTCCTGGCCCCGCATCTTGGCCCGACGAAGAACCCGGACGACCTGGGGCCCCACCCATGTGGTTGAACGGCCCTTTTCGAGGGCGAAGAACGGCCACCATGTCCTTCAAGTCCTCGATGTCCTCGTCCGGCAGTCTCGCGATCGCCCACCATTCCGTGTGCAAATCCCCAAAGGTGGGGAGCCATATCGGGATGTCATAGACGGCCGACAAAGCGACACCCAAAGTGGCCGACCGATTTCTGCCGTGAGAGCCTCAGATTGCACTAACTACAGTTAAAGTCGACACGAAAAACCTCGCACAAGCTCAGATCAAGACAAGCCTAAATTGAATCCAGCTACAAATGATCTGCAGCACCGAACGACCTTCGACGTGCAGCAGTGTGTCGAGGATCCCACAGAGCATCACGAACGCCGCAGGGAACTCCTCCTGGTCACGAGCGGCCTTCCAGGCTCCGTACACGCACAGCGGATTGCCTCAGATAATCGCACAAGCCACTGACTGCTCGGACACATGATCTGACTGTCTACAGCTTAAGTTAAGTTTAAGATACCCGGTGGACTCGCAGCTCGTGTCTTCACGTCGGACGGCCAAACTCCCCGAACATCGATCGACACCTGAGTGCCCGAGATATCGTACCACCTCTTCTTCATAAACCACGGGCAGACCGAATGGCCTTTCTGTCCTCGGTGGTGGCACATCACATGCAACCTTGAACCTTCACCTGAACCGAACACAGCAAGCCTTAAATTAAACTGAATGCATCGGGCTACCGATCGCCCCGCTTTTCTGGGTGGTCTTGTAGATTTCTTCGGCCCCCCACGCCACGATGAGAGGCCCCTCACGCCATGGGCCCTCGTCCACCTTGTCGTCGAGACCCCGATACTTAAGGTCTTCTTCGCCACCACTGCGAGGGCCCCGACGACCGGCCATGGATGCAAAAGGAACGGCAAACGTGTGCCGAAAGACCCCCGAAAAACCCCGCACGGCCCGATGACCGAACGACCGAAAGACCCGAAAAGCCCAACACCAAACTGTGAAAGCGAAAATCTGTGCATGACATGCTCTGCAACTGCCTATCAGGACATGGAATGCAACATCAAAACATGAGTCTGGGAGCCTTAAAATGATGCAAACATGTACAACATCAAGCTCATGCGAATGACACTGCAAAAAACGGCATGCCAAGCACTCATGCATGACCGTGCAATGCACTCCTGAACCCCCCCTCACTCTTGCACAAATCGTGCCAGGTGCACCGTGTAGCTCTCGAAGTCGATGATGTCGAGCGACCAGGAAAACGAACGACGACGAACGACGAAAGACTTCTTTTTACCCGAAAAATAACTTGAACATTCTCATCCTCAAACCAAACGTTGATGCAACCTTATTTCCTATCTTAAACTTCAAAAACAAACCCGCCCGACAAGTATCAAAAAGACAGTGCCCCGACAACAAAATATCTCACTAAATACTAAGTCCCGAACCCGGAAACCATGACCTAACCTATCTCGAAACCTTAAGTTTTAGGGGTCTGTGGGGGGGGGGGCCCAGGGGGGGCCCAAAATCTGCACTTATCGGCTGCTGCTTTTAAAGGCTGCTATTAGGCTACCTGACTAGTATTAGTACTCGTACTCATTAGTATTCGTATTCACATGAGGAGGCACGTCCAACCGGACCTAAGCCTCCAGAAGCAAAGTAGTAATGTAGGGGCCTAAATAATGAACAATACTATGT